CTAATTGTCCACGCTCAACTCACGTTGGCTGTAAATCACCACGGTCCCTTACGTTATGGCAAGCCTCGGGGAGCCACGCCGAGGGGCGGGGGTGGTGGAAGGAGGGGAGGGGCGGTGGGGGAAGGGAGCACGGGGAGGGGCGATGGGGGAGGAGGGGCGATGGGGGAAGGGGCGATGGGGGAAGGGAGCACGGGGAGGGGTGATGAGGGGGAGGGGCCCTGAGGGGGGGGCCCTGAGGGGGGAGGGGGGCCCTGAGGGGGGAGGGGCGCCCTGAGGGGGGAGGGGCGCCCTGAGGGGGGAGGGGCGATGGGGGAGGGGCGATGGCGAGGGGCGATGGGGGGAGGGGCGATGGGGGGGAGGGGCGATGGGGGGGAGGGGCGATGGGGGGAGGGGCGATGTGAGGAGGGGCGATGAGGGGAGGGGGGAGGGGCCCTGAGGGGGGAGGGGCCCTGAGGGGGGAGGGGGGCCCTGAGGGGGGAGGGGGGCCCTGAGGGGGGAGGGGGGCCCTGAGGGGGGAGGGGCGCCCTGAGGGGGGAGGGGCGCCCTGAGGGGGGAGGGGCGCCCTGAGGGGGGAGGGGCGATGGGGGAGGGGCGATGGGGGAGGGGCGATGGGGGAGGGGCGATGGGGGGAGGGGCGATGGGGGGGAGGGGCGATGGGGGGGAGGGGCGATGGGGGGAGGGGCGATGGGGGGGAGGGGCGATGGGGGGAGGGGCGATGTGAGGAGGGGCGATGAGGGGAGGGGGGAGGGGCCCTGAGGGGGGAGGGGCGATGGGGGGGGGGCCTGAGGGGGGAGGGGCCCTGAGGGGGGGGGGCCCCTGAGGGGGGGGGGGCCCCGGAGGGGGGGGGGCCCTGAGGGGGGAGGGGCCCTGAGGGGGGAGGGGCCCTGAGGGGGGAGGGGCCCTGAGGGGGGAGGGGCCCTGAGGGGGGAGGGGCCCTGAGGGGGGAGGGGCCCTGAGGGGGGAGGGGCCCTGAGGGGGGAGGGGCGATGTGGGGGCCCTGACGCTGTGGCAAGCTGCGGGGCCCACGTCCTGGACTCGTGCGCTGCTTTCACAACGAGAGTCGAACATTGACGATGCTCCCCGTGGCACGACACGGCTACTGCTGAATGGCTGCTGTGCATGCAAAAGCAAGGTAGCTCACTCTGTTGTTGTTATTGTTGTCGTCCTTGTCGTTGTGCTTGTATGCTCAAATATTGCACCTTAATTTTAACACACTCCCCAATGTCGTATCGGCTGCAAACTTTGTATAGTTGTGTCATATTGATGACAATACTATATTCTATCATGAAAAAATAAAATAAAAATGTAAACTATCTTTTTTACACGCTTTCTATGAACTCACTTCTCAAATGTTGTAACTTTAATTTTAACCGTCTTCCCAATTTGGTATCGACTGCAAACTTGGTATAGGTATGTTATACTGATGACAACACTATATTCTATCATTAAAAAGAAAATAAAAATATTTTTAAACATTAATTTTTATAGGCTAGATGTTTCTGCTTGGCTCTAATTGTCCACGGTCAACTGACGTTGGCTGTAATTGTGGAGTTCTGCCATTACTCATACGGTACATTTCATTAAAGCGTTGTGTTAAAAGTATTTTTAAACACAGTATTACTTATTTCTTGTCAACCTACACCACGATGAGCAGTGTGGGTGTGTGGAGCGAGGTGTAATGATTGCCTGGTGGCCCTTTGATTGGTGTACTTGCAGTGGCTTTGTCTCCAACATTAACTGCTGCTGACACTTGGGCTACTCACATCTCTAAACATTTCTAAAACATTCTTGGTTCTTTCGGTAAAGTCGTGAGAATTTTATTGTTATTTTTATTATTTCCCTTCTACGTGGCTTTACCTAAAGAATCCCTGCATTCACGAAAGCTTTAAACCTTTATAAAGAGTTTGCCTTTAGAGGCTAACCCCCCTTTTCCTGATGACGACCGCTTGTGTTGCGATGAAAACGTCGTGGTTTTTGTGTTTATTTTTATTACTGAAAGAGCCAGAATAAGTCTACATTATAGACTGCCAGTACACTCACTCAGGTTCAGTTTAATAACCAGGCTACAGTCTACATTATAGATGCCAGTACACTCACCAGCTTCAAAACCATTGCTACAGTCTACACTATAGACTGCCAGTACTCTCTGCCTAATAACCAGGCTACAGTCTACATTATAGACTGCCAGTACACTCACTCAGGTTCAGTTTAATAACCAGGCTACAGTCTACATTATAGATGCCAGTACACTCACCAGCTTCAAAATCATTGCTACAGTCTACACTATAGACTGCCAGTACTCTCTGCCTAATAACCAGGCTACAGTCTACATTATAGACTGCCAGTACACTAACCCAGCTTAATAACCAGGCTACAGTCTACATTATAGACTGCCAGTACACTCACCCAGCTTAATAACCAGGCTACAGTCTACATTATAGACTGCCAGTACACTCACCCAGCTTAACAACCAGGCTACAGTCTACATTATAGACTGTCAGTACACTTACTCAGGTTCAGCTTAACAACCATTGCTACAGTCTACATTATAGACTGCCAGTACACTCACCCAGCTTAATAACCAGGCTACAGTCTACATTATAGACTGTCAGTACACTCAGGTTCAGCTTAACAACCAGGCTACAGTCTACATTATAGACTGCCAGTACACTTACTCAGGTTAATAACCAGGCTACAGTCTACATTATAGACTGTCAGTACACTCACTCAGGTTCAGCTTAACAACCATTGCTACAATCTATATTATAGACTGCCAGTACGCTGACTTTTAATATTTGTATTTTAGTTTTTCCATCTATGTGACTTTACCGAAAGAAGCAAAGAATATGACCACGGAGATGTACAGTGTATGGCCAAATTATATTTTAAAAATGTGTCAACACACTCAACATACAGTATTAGACAATACTGTACATTCATTCATTCATTCGTGTAGAATGAAGAAGACCCATTGCCGGAAACGTCGCCTGCCATATACTTTTCCTATTAAGACCACAGAGTTCCTGACAAATGTGTTAAGTCAAAAAAAAAGTATTATACTCACGGCTAAATAAATCCTCCGTGTGTATTAAAAAAAAAACCACATTCGCGTGCTTGTGGCTAAGGGTCGTACAGTTAGGTACTGTAAACCCAAAATAAATAAATAAGCTAACGAAAAAATGCATTAAATGTTGCGACTGCTGCTGCTGCTGCTGTGAGGATGTGGCTTTGAGGTTGGCTGTGTGGAGCAGCAGCAGGAGGAGGAGGAGGGAGGAGGAGTGGATGGAGGCGTGTGGGTTTGGGGGCTCTCTGAGTCACGGTGCGCATGCTGCATTCGTTTGGGGGGTGGGCAGGAGGAGGAGGAGGAATAGGCAGTGGTGGAGGTAATGGTTGGTCGACTTCATAGAGGAGGAGTGTATTGAAGAGCTGATGGAAGAGTTGGAGTGGAGGATGGAGGAGTAGTTTACTAGTGGACGGGACGGACCCAAGTTAGTGCGCCGAGTAGGTCGGGGCTCTCAGAGTCATCGCAATCTCACCCGGTAAGCGAAGCCTCCTGGGGATGTTCATGTTGAGGTTTTATTAGCGTCGTACTGAGTGCTGGGGAGAGAGGTGAGTGGTGGTGGGGGGAGGTGAGTGGTGGTGGGGGGAGATGAGTGGTGGTGGTGGTGGGGGGGAGATGAGTGTTGAGAGGAGATGAGTATTGGGGAGCGGTGAGTGGTGGTGGGGAGAGGTGAGTGGTGGTGGTGGTGGGGGGAGATGAGTGGTGGTGGTGGGGGGGAGATGAGTGTTGAGAGGAGATGAGTGTTGGGGAGATCAGTATTGGGGAGAGGTGAGAGCGGTGGGGAGAGGTGAGTGGTGGTGGAGGGGAGATGAGTGTTGAGAGGAGATGAGTCCTGGGGGGTAGGAGGAGAGAGATTCCTGCGGGGTGGGAGATGAGTGTCGGGGAGTCGTAGCGCACGCAGCCTGTGTGGGAGTTCCGCGTAAAGTCGCAAAGTGGCACACACACAAACATACACACAAAACGCATACACACAAACACATACACACAAACGCATACACACACACATACACACACACAAGCACACAAGCACACACAAGCGCACACTAACACACAAAGATAAAGATCCCCCGTATAGCCTTCACAGACTGTAGGGGCAAGTGCTGTTAGCGAGCACCTATGAAGGCCAGAACGGTACACGAGGGGGTGGGTGGCCAGCACCACGCCCGACCGCCTTTGTCTCCCTAGCGGCGATGTTTACACACCGCACCAGGTACTCATTTAAGGCTGAGTCGACCTAGGGGAGGCCCAGGACCGGTTCAGATAATCGTCACTGGTGTTAGCCGTGAGCGGGAATCGAACCCGGGTCGCCAGGTTCGTAGCGCAGCGCGCTAACCGCTACACTACCGCTCCCCACTGCACTAACACACACGCACACACACACAAACACATACACACACAACACTAACACACACACACAAGCACAAACACACACACCCACACAAACACATACACACAAACATACATACACACTAACACACCCACAAAAACACACACGCGCGCCCTTTCCACAGCAGAACCAGATTGTTGCGAGATTACGAGTCACAGGTCCACACACACACAAGCACATACACTAACACACACACAAGCACACACACACACACACTAACACACACACACTAACACACACACACACCACGTCGACACGTGGATCCGGTCTTTGGGAATTCCCTGCCACGGCGCCAAAACGCCGGTCGGCTCGCGAGGATCGTGATCGGAACGTCTCCCCGCTGGGCCCCGTGAGTGTGTTGTGTGTGTGTGTGTTGTGTGTGTGTGTTGTGTGTGTGTTGTGTATGTGTGTTGTGTGTGTGTTGTGTGTATTGTGTGTGTATTGTGTGTGTGTTGTGTGTGTGTGTGTGTTGTGTCCCAGCCACTACGGCAGTGCCGACTGAGCCGCGTGTCTCTCGTCTCTCCCTCCCACCACCACCACCACCCCACAAAGAACTCTGCTCGCTTCTGGTAGCCGCCTCCTTCTCCTCCTCCTGGCCTGCCCCTTGCTGCCCAGCGGGGCTCCGAGTGATAAACAGAGCTTCCTCCACCTCGCCGGAGAGAGGTCCCGGCTCCCCGCGTGTCTTGCCTCCCAAGGACGGAGGGAGGGAGGCGTCTCGGAGACCTCGGATCGCGTCTCCCATCGCCACCGACGCCACCGACGCCCGCACGGTAAGGGACGCGCTCACAGAGTGAAGGTGCGCGCGCCTGCGTGTTGGTGGTGGTGGTGGTGATGGTGGTGGTGATGAATGATGATGGTGGTATTGGTGATGATGAATGGTGGTGGTGATGAGTGGTGTTGGTGGTGGTGATGAGTGGTGTTGGTGATGAGTGGTGTTGGTGGTGAGTGGTGGTGATGATGAATGGTGGTGATGAATGGTGGTGGTGATGAGTGGTGGTGGTGGTGGTGATGAGTGGTGGTGGTGATGAGTGGTGGTGGTGATGAATGGTGGTGATGAATGGTGGTGGTGGTGGTGATGAATGATGATGGTGGTGTTGGTGATGATGAATGGTGGTGGTGATGAGTGGTGTTGGTGATGAGTGGTGTTGGTGATGAGTGGTGTTGGTGGTGAGTGGTGGTGATGATGAATGGTGGTGATGAATGGTGGTGGTGATGAGTGGTGGTGGTGGTGGTGATGAGTGGTGGTGATGATGAATGGTGGTGGTGATGAGTGGTGGTGGTGGTGGTGATGAGTGGTGTTGGTGGTGAGTGGTGTTGGTGATGAGTGGTGTTGGTGGTGAGTGGTGGTGATGATGAATGGTGGTGATGAATGGTGGTGGTGATGAGTGGTGGTGGTGGTGGTGATGAGTGGTGGTGGTGATGAATGGTGGTGATGAATGGTGGTGGTGGTGGTGATGAATGATGATGGTGGTGTTGGTGATGATGAATGGTGTTGGTGGTGAGTGGTGTTGGTGATGATGAATGGTTTTGGTGATGGTGATGATGAGTGGTGTAGTGGTGGTGATGAATGGTGGTGGTGGTGGTGTTGAATGGTGGTGGTGATGTTGGTGATGAATAATGGTGGTGGTGGTGATGATGAATGATGATGGTGGTGTTGGTGATGATGAATGGTGGTGGTGATGTTGGTGATGAATAATGGTGGTGGTGATGATGAATGATAATGGTGGTGATGGTGGTAGTGATGTTGGTGATGAATAATGGTGGTGGTGATGGTGATGATGAATGATGATGGTGGTGATGGTGGTGGTGGTGATGAATGATGATGGTGGTGGTGGTGATGAATGGTGGTGGTGGTGATGAATGATGGTGGTGGTGGTGATGAATGATGGTGGTGGTGATGAATGGTGGTGGTGGTGATTCCCGCACGGGGTTTCGTGGCATGGTTCGTGATGGCAGTGACGATCGCGGGGTGAATGATACTAAACAGGTTGCTGATGGTGGGGTTAGTGATGACGATGATGGGGTTAGTTATGGTGGTGATAATAACGGGGTTATGATTAGTGATAGTCGTGTTGATAACATCAGTGGCACGTGGAGCCCGAAGCGGTTGTTCCAAGGTCGACTCAGCCTTAAATTAGTACGATGTGTAACCAGTGCAATTTCTAACATGTTCAATAGGGGGGGTTAAAATACATCGGTGTTCAACAACCGGCATGGTGAAGTATGGGCAAACAACGCCACTGACCGACACATTTTATTCATTTAATGATATGCAATAATCAATACAAATATATTGACACATTGAAATAAAAAAACTATTTAACACGCAATAGGTGACATAGCATTCTCGTGTTATATGCACTTTTAAATAAGGCCTCATCATAACGCTTGCGTGTATGGTGAACTCCTTTCGCACCGTACGTGTCCAACCATTCTAATCGGAGGTGATTGTTACCTTGAGAATCCTCACCGAGTCTCAAGACCCCCCAACCCACCCCATCTTTTTCAGGGCGTACTGCTACTTTGGGATGTTTGACCAAATTCCAATCGTGCTTTGCCGGTGGCTCTTTTGTGTGAGCTCCGAAACCAGATGGAGGTGGTGGGGGACGCACGTAAAGCAGCTCCCCTGCTTAGTGATTCAAGAATCCACTGCTCTACGATATTTCCCATTTCCTTGTCACCTGCCCCCCCCCCCACAAGCAGCTACATCACCTGGCGTGTATACTATTTCCACGCAATCTCATATTTAAGCACTAGCCAGGGTCAACACTCGCATTGTTCAATTGCTCCGATAGCGAGGGACTATTTGCGTTTGATGATAACTTGTGTGCTCTTGGTTATTGGTTTTACTGTGAAATATATTCCAAGGAAATGACCCGAAAGGTGCGCGCTGTCCTGTGGACTAAAGCAAGGGAAAAAATGTAGCAATGGCAATTCATCGGACTCCTCCGCCACGTAAAACCTCACCGTGTGTAGGCAAAAGACATCGCGTATTTTTTTTGTAGAGACAGAAGCGGCCGCCGGCTATGCGCGGTTCTGGCCAGTACCACAGCGTGCCGGGGTCGGCCTCACAATGGTTGCTTGCTTCACAGCACTTGTTGTTCTCTCTTGTCTTGAAGACAACTCGGGGGAGGGGTTGTTGGGTCTTTGTTTCCTGTTGGTGGTGGTGGAGGAGGAGGAGGAGATGAGTGGCAGCGCACCTGGCCCATCTTCTTGTCTGTGGTGTTGAGCCATGCTATGGCGGCTGCTAAAGGTGCGTTTAGAATATGTGGCTGCTTTACATTTCCACACGATAAGCCACTTGGTTGAGCAATCTTTGGTGGCCAGGTTCGCTTCTGAAAAGAATAACTAATAGCTCGGGTGGACTTTACCTAATAACACTCTTGGGTTATTTCGGTAAAGTCACGTAGAAAAAAAAATAATGATAAAGAACCAAAGAGTAATTCCTGCAGTCATTAAAGCTTCGAATCTAGTTTTTTTACTTGGTAAAATAAAACAAATACACTTGCTTTCGTTTAAGGTTATCTATTTGTAGTTATTTACTTGCCTTTCCTATACTTTGCACTCCGTTTTTTTGTCCTGTTTGTTGTAACTTTCTGACGTCCCTACTGGGCACCTGAAAAAAAAGAGCTTCACAGCTCATCGGATTTCTCCAGGAAAAAATAAAGATTCTAATTGTGATTCTGCGGCTAGTGCAGCACGTGGATCCAGTCTCCCACGATACACTGGTGCATTGAGCCGGTGGTTATCGCCGCGCGTGCAAATGTGGCTGTCATGAGACGCTCGGGATGGGAGATTCGCCCGACACTAATCCTGCTGCTGTAAGCTTATGCTGCGAGGTGGTAGGTTGGCGAGGAGATGGGTGCCAGCACCACAGGCGTGGATCATTGAATCCATCTGTGTGCATCTTTGAATGTTAGTCATGTAGGCGTATGTGCACGCGAGGGTGTTTGTGGCATGATACCTTGTGTGTTATGTTTAAGTACCATACTTGTTTGCTTTTCAACGAAACGGCAAGGGCTGAATTTGTACAACTCCGTTTCAACAATGAAAGCTTACATTTCAAACGTATTATTCTGGGGTGAAACTCAGCGCGTGTGTTTTATGTCAAACCAGAATATTAAAAAAACGCTTCTATTGTTGAAAACCATACTTACATAGATGACAGTGTAGGCACATTATTTGGTGATTCTACGTTGGTAGTGTTGCACAAGCATACATATCTCCTGCACCTTTTCTGGTTTCTCTATGGTGTGAAGGACCATTGTCTGGAACGTTGCCCAATAGATATATTTTTTTCTCTTCAAGGTGTTGTTATTGACCAATTCATTGTGTTATACATATATACAGTACTATATATACAAATAAAACGTGGCAACAAATATCGTGCCATAGGGTGTTCGTGTATTTGATACCTTTGTAAGCAACCTGTCTTTGTGAGTACTGTACGTATTGCAGTTATGAATTCACGTTTGTTGTTTAACTAGGTGAGAACTCCAGAGACCAGGATACGTCTAATTTGCCAGTGACCTAGGGCATTCGTCTGCCAGTAGGGGGTAATGATTGCTATCTAATCCCAATTGAGTACTGTGATTTGTGGTGTAATTTTCTAATTTAGTAAATGTGGACCTTGGCGAGTTGGGGCGTGAGCGTGGGAGTCAATATGCAGTGCAGGAAATGTGCAAGTCAATAAAGACAACTCATTGCTGCCTGCCTTATAACAGAAAATATGAAGTGCCCCGACGTTTTTGCCATTGACCCTTCAGACACCACTTCGAACATAGACCCTAATATTTATACTACAGCACAGGGTATGTGTAGTGACTGACTCAGAAGACACTAAGAGTAGGAGGCACTGTTTATTAAACGGCCTTCACAGTTCACACTTTAGTAACTACGGTTCCCAGTCAGGACAGCTGGCAGACTGCCTGACTGGTGACGCCAGTACGACAGGGATTCCACTCCAAACAACAGCTCCGAGGTCCTCTCCCGGGGCCCCTCTTATACTGCCAGCGTGGCCTGGCCACGCCCCCCTTCTGGAACCTACCAGCGGGTTCTCGATGTGCCCCTTTCGTAACCTTTCCCCTCGATCCCTCTCTGGTCTATCACGTGGCCTGCTGTCAGTCAGGGCTGCTGTAGCTGTGGATCCCCTTCTCTGCCAGCAGCCAGCGCTATGCTGCTAAGTGACCGATTCTATGTCACTACATATGTGTTACGACTTTTAAGCCATAGGTTAACCTTTGTTGAGGGCAGCACAAAACAATACCCTATGAAAATCATAGGCCCCCATGTGTTACAGTTGCCGTGTACCTACGTGTGTATGTAGGTGTGTGTTGTTCATCCCGTAGACACTCACGCAGTGTTGTACATACCGTAAAGCACTCAGTGCGTGGTTGCGCAGCGGTAGGAACCCAGCAACCTGCTTTTAATTCCAGCTCATGGCCAGTGACGATTATCTGAACTGCTCCTGACCCCCCCCCCCCCCACCTAGGTTGACTCGGCCTCAAATGAGTACCTGGTGCGTTGTGTTAACATCGCCACTTGGGGGACAAAGTTCGGCCTGGCGTGGTACTGGCCATCCACCGTGTGCCGTCCGTAGCCAACCGTGCTCACTGGCAGCACCTGCTCTCTGTGAAGAAGATATACGGGGCGATCTTTGTATTTTTTGTGATGGTCACTTTCACACACGCTGAGATTATCAGACTCGATTCTGCGGCTCCCCTATGTCAACTCAGTCTTCGTGATTTACATCGTTTGGTGTACAGTATAA